ACCGTCTGGCACTCAACCGCCTACATTCCGTACTCTGTGCGACTGGCTGCAGAGCTGCGGGCGTTGCATCGTCGCATCTGCTGGGCCCTGCTTTCAGAGTCCTCACCCCAGCATCAGGTTCGGTCCGCTTGTCTTATGCCCCGGCTTTCCGACGCGAGGCGTGCACCTTGCGTGGGCGCATTTTGCCTACTTAAATAAATGTAGTAGAACGATTTTGAGGGAATAAAACGCCTGTTGACTGTTTATTGAATATTAAGCGGTTATCATGCTGTGACTGAGGAACTGTGGTCCAACGATTCATATCACCTTTCAGTCTGCGTCTATAAACTTTAGTTCAGACCGATTTACTTCATTTTAGCTTTTGATTTCTGTGCTAATTAAAAAGCAGCAAATAAGTCGTCAGCAGATAGACAAGTTGGATTCCGTCTATCAAAATGCGTTCGTGTACACCAGTTTTTCACCTTCAGAAGGCCTTATCGTGTGATATGTTTCTTAGTGGTTGCCATCACATCGATTTTTTGGAATAAAGATAGATTTTTTGCGATTTCTACAGAAACTGGTACTGTTTAACTAACGTTCGTACTTGTCTGGGCAAACTTATTTGGTCATGTTTGCGTTGTTTTGATATCATTGGAAACTAATACGCGATGATGGCGTAAATCCTTCGGAACACAGTTTTTCGGGTTCGTTCCGAATATTTATATGAAAAATGTGACCAAAATTTATCAGCTACTTTAGAATAACCGCGTAGTATTCCAAAACTCTGAACCGACAGTATACAAATATACTGAATCATTTAGAATTCTGACATCGCAGGTGCTATTCAAGACCGTGCTTTACCGGTCGCCTGCGGCTGCACGATGCAGCAGCGAGAGATTTGGATTATCAGGGGTCCCCAAGGTTCTCCACTTGTTTTCTAGTAAATATACTCCAGTCTATACACCGCCTTCTTTCATTTACTCGGAAACTAATGTTCAAGCTTAGAGTAGATTCTTCGGCACAAAGCTTTCGAGGCTCGATCCGAAAACTGCGACAATCATTTGAACTAAAATCTATTAGCCACTGCCCAATAATCGCGTAATATTTACAAGCTGCCAATGGGTTCTATACTATGCAGGGCGTATCCTTGATGCACAAAGACGAAAAAAATGTATAAGTTTAAAACCACACTTTTAGTCAGACCCCTCATTTACCTGTGATACTCCAGCGTAAATATGCCTCGGGTATGGCGCTCAGAAATATTCGAAGAAACTTGAGTAATGCGTGTGCCTGGATGCCGTACCCGCTTTTCAAAAATTTTCCAGA